CTGGCTGTCGAGGTGGGGGGTGATAATTGGCAGACTTTCTGGAGAAGACCTGGTCTGATTAGGAGAAACGACATTTATTCCACTTTGGATGGAGCAGCTCTAATATCTAGAAACCATGGTTATTAATACACCAAAGCCATGACAACCATCCATTCCCCCTAGTCATATTAATACTCACATTCCTTGAGGCACTGGATGAGGAGGTGGAGTTGAGTTTTCAACTCAAGCCTATAAATCAGTTTTAAACTAAATTATAACTCATCGAAAGCCTTGTTCTTAGTCTATTATATCCAACATGGAAAACACTGCAGCCAATTCTATTTGTTATAGTGTACTGATCACCTGATCCATATTCTGATATTTTTATGAGTTTCTATCAAGTTTAGTCCTTAAAACAGATAAAATAGGTGATTTTAATATGGATGTGGAAGTCGATAATGATAGCCTTAGTACTGTGTTTATCTCATTATTAGATACAGTTGGCTTCTTTCAATGTTCATAAACTGACTCACTGTTATAACCACACCCTCGACCAGCAAATGGCATTGAAACTGAACATTTAGTAGTCTTTCCACAGAATCCCTTTTTATCTACCCACTCTTAAATAACTTTTTAATTCCTATTGCTGGAATTTTATATAAATATGAAGTAGTGCCATACAACGCTAACAACACTGGAACCAGTGCACGGAATCTAGCTGCTGAGAAGCTCGAGTGAAGATAAATCAACGTTGTAATCCCAAAAACTAAAGTAAAAAGCTAATTTAATAAAAGCAGTTTACTCCGAGCTCCTCCCCTCGAGCAAACGGCGTAGTTGTCAGAGCAGAATCCAGTCCGATCACGGGTGTTTATTTGCCCAAAAGCTGGAGCTCTGCTCCCTGCTTCTCTAGCCCAAGTTTAGCAGCTCTCAGCCAGCCAGCAGATTTTCAGTCGCCCGCTCTACCTGGCCCTCTCCACACAACGCTCTGAAGCTGTCGGTGACATACAGACAATCTCAACGAATTTCTCCCTTGAATTGAAAATATTCAACTCACGTGAATTCCTTCGTGTTGCCAAAGAATTTTGTTTAATCTGTCAAGATAGTCTTTAAAATTGTAGAAAGGCCCTCCGTAATGCCAGAGCAGCATACTACTCGTAGTTAATAGAGGAAAATAAGAACAACCCCAGGTTTCTTTTCAGCTCTATAGCCAGGCTGACAGAGATTAACAGCTTTTTTGAGCCATATATTCCCCTCAGTAGTAAAGACTTCATGATAAAATTCTAACAATGAGAGATCAAATCTGTCATCTTCTGCCCTCAACTGGTAAAGATTTATCTTCCAACTCAGAAACCTTAGAAACAGCTGTATAATATATATATATGTATGTATATATATATATATATATGTATGTATGTATATATGTATATATAAATGTAAATGCTCCGTACTTGTATAGCGCCTTTCTAGTCTTTTCGACCACTCAAAGCGCTTTTACACTACATCTGCATTCACCAGTCACACACATTCACACACTGAGCCTAAGCTCAAACGGAAACTAACAGTCACACTCATTCATACACTGGCGGAATAGCCGCCAGGGGCAATTCGGGGTTCAGTATCTTGCCCAAGGACACTTCGACACACAACTAGGGGGAGCCAGGGATTGAACCGCCGACCTTCCGATTAACGGCCAACCCACTCTACCTCCCATTCCAACCAGGCTACTTAAACAAGTTTAAGTTTAGTTAGCACTTCTCTGCTAGATATGATCAGTCTGTCTTTATTAACGTGCTGTGTACCACAGTCCACAGCTGTAATTAAACCTCTTCTTAAAAAGCCCACTCTTGATCCAGGGGAATCCGTGTATGAAAAAAAAAAACAAGTCGTTTTTGCATACCCTTACACATACCCTAAGAATTTTGGAATCTTCTATTTGTTACACAGACACAGACACACACACACACACAACCTGCACAACCTACATAGTGAGAGACAATACACACTGTATACTGTACTGTATGTATGTATGCAATACATTTTGAATACAGTTGATTGATGACACTGTAGCAGAAGTGCAATAAAGCACCTTTTTTGTAGAGACTCTGTGAGTGTTTCTATACATATCCATATTGTAATTGGTCTGAGACAAATATGTGTCCTGCATGTTGTATGAAGCTTGTATGAAGCTTGTAATTATCTAGTGTGGATCTTACTCTTTGTGTAATGTTTATGTCATGATATATACTACTTCTGGCATATGCATCAGTGTGTAGGTGAGTGAGATGTGCCTGAAAGCAACAGCTACAACGCTGGGGAATCCTGCCTGCCACAATCTCTCCATATATACACACAAACACACACATACACACACACTGAACACTCAGCCAGCCAACAAATGGATGCACTGCACACACATTATGGAGAGAAAGATAGGTAGCCACAAAATTAGATTTAGACACACTTGCAGAAAGGCAGGCAGCCAGCCACTGCAATGCAGAATAGAGCTTCCCCCTCAGCTGTGTGGGAGACACCAATTACTGAGCGGTGGGGGTAGACTGGAGATTCCTCACGCTGTTATTTCTATGGACTTCCTTTTGCTTATTCTCTCTCTCTTTGTCTTACTTTATTGGTCTCTCTGTCTCTCTCCACCTCTCTTTTTCCACCTCCCATCGCATATTTCATCTCTAGGGCTGTAACGTCCCAGTCGATTAGTCGATTAATTGGTCTGTACGTTCTGGTTCGACCAAAATTCTGATTGGTCGATTTTTTGCCGCATTCATTTCATCAGTTTTCATTTCATCAGTTTTGCCGCGCTTCATCAGGTGGAAACCACTAATTGCTAATGGGGGTGTTTTCAGAGCACCCCTGTTTCACAGGTAATAGTCTGTCTTAAGAACACCCCCCTTGTTTTTACTTTTTTGGATTAGCCCAACCTACCGGAGGAGAAGAGAGACAGATAAGTAGGCTATTGAAGGTTTGATGCTAAATAGGCCTATTATTTATCTATAATTAACTGTGAGAGTGTTTAATAGTCCGTCTTCTAACATGTCAACAACAAAGACATCGACAGTGTGGAAGAACACTAAAGGAATCACATAATTAAACATTAAAGTGGATGTGCCTTTTGTGTTTATTAAGAGCAAAAACTTTAAGTTAATCTATTCGTGTCTGCCGCCGCTCAGCTGAGCGCTCAGCTGCGCTCTGCTGAAATGATCATAGTGTCTAATAAACTTATTATTATAACATATGACAAAAATAATTGTCTAAATGATGTTGCATATTCCTCAACAATTCTTGTGATGATATCACTAGTTGACAAGCAACATAGTACTATTTTCGTAAATCGTAGGCTATGATATTGCGCAGGTGCACGTGACGCATTGCTGTCAAAGCCGACAGACTATTTAGTGCAAAATAATTAGATAAAAAACGATTTAATAAACTGCAAATAGCCTACTATTTTTTTTAATGTTTATTTACAATTCATTTAGGCGGACAACAAGGCTACCAAGTACTGCGCACAGTGCACAGCTGACTAATTTAAAAAAATAATAATTAAGTCATTTTTAGTCGATTTTTAGTCGAAGATTTCAGGACTTTAGTCGACCAAGATTTTCTTTGGTTGATTACAGCCCTATTCATCTCCTAGATAATTTGAATTGAATTGTCTTATTGGTATGACATAACCCTAACCCAGGCAATTGAGATAATGTTTTCAGCTTTAACAAATGAATACTATAACAAAATAATGTAATATTAGTACAAAGAACTGTTGTATTGGCTGTAAGGATAACATTTATTTTATTTTCGTAATAGATAAATAAATTAATTACCCAATCAGTTTCATTTGATTAATTATTTCCCCCTGTATTAATATAAATAAGTATAATTAAATTGGAAGGTAGATGTATTTTATATGTACATATCCTTGTGTTTGTCCATGTCCTGTCCAAGTCCAAGTCACAAACTTTGCATTTAGAGTTTTAGAGTTCTATAAAAGCCAGTATACACCAAATTTAAAGGGTAATTTTTGGTATTTTTAAACCTGGGCCCTATTTTCACATATTTTGGGGTCAAATAACACAGTGGCTATTATTCCAGGTTTAAAAAATATTGGAATTAACCTTAATCTAAGGCTACCAGGCTGTCCCACTAAGCTTTCTCCTTATCCTTTGCTTTTATTATGAATGACTTAACTTGACTATTAAATAGTATTTATTTATTATTTATTTTATTACATAACATTATTTACAAGAGTTACTTCATTCTGGTGTCTGGGTGCTCTTTATTCATGGTACTACACAACAGTTTACAACAGCTGACTACAGGTAGATTTAGATATATACAGCACACATATATATGAGGTAATGGCAGCCAGTGGCAGTTTTTTAAAGCTACTTTCCATGGAAAAATGTTATGTGATGATAATTCTGTCACACATTTACAACTTTTTGTCATTTCTGAACCAAAAAGTTTCCATTTTGTTGACCACAACAGAGACTTAACATCTGAGTGATTATCTGAGATAATCTGATAAGTACCGTATATGCTGTCAGGATAATGAAAATGAGTTTAGACGCTGCACACTTTCTTATAACCTCATTTAATATCTTTGGTCATCTGAGGGAATATCAAGTCTTTCCATGTCAAAAAGCTGAATGAACCAAATGAACTCATTGATTGATTTCAAGTAAAGTCTGAAGTCATTAAATTAGGGACTTGAGTCTGACTCAAGACCATGTCACAGGACTGGGTACTTCAATGGTCATTGTTGAGAGAAATGATTAATCAGTGCCTCATTCCATGTAGACAGATTCCAGCTTGTTGTCTAAGCATGAGACCACCCTGCTTCTGATGGTTCACCTATTTCACAAAGTGACAGGATAGTACATATGTCTTACCTGCAGGAAGCCAGCCTGCTGTATTCTTGTCAACAAAGTTAAGTCATCCAGGCTCTGTGTGCTTGTCAGATTGGATAAACATTCATGTTTGTGTTTGTGGTTTCTTTGTGGTTTCTACAGGGAGTTTGCCAAGGAGAGAGAGCGGGTGGAGAAGAGGCAAGAATTCCTGAAGCTCCGCAGACAGCAGCAAATAGAGAGAGAGTTAACTGGGTACCTAGAGTGGATCTGCAAAGCAGGTCAGAAACAAACACACACACACAGTCCTTCGACCTAATGTGAGTTACAAATGTGAGCCCTTACTATTTCCTCACTAACTCATTACAGTTACATTTAAATAAAAAAATTTTAAACACTAGACACAAATGTGACTTAATTTTGACATTTAGTTCAGGTGTGGTATTTGTGTTGCAGAAGAGGTGATGCTGGCTGAGGAAGACAAGAACGCAGAGGAGAAATCTCTGGATGGAGCATGGTACAAAAGGAAACACAACAACTCTGGTAAGGACTGCCATCTTCAGAATTATTGTAAAGATAGAAGATAAACTTAGGTAAAAAAAATATCATTTTACAATTTTGCGCCATGTTAGAGATATAATCAGGTGTTCACTAGCTAAATATACCAGAAAACAAAACATTACATGTACATGTACATTACCATCACCAGCTGTATGCCTTACTCCCATCTATAGTCAACAGAAATCTTTATCATGCTCTCCTTTTGCGTTTAGCATATTTGTGCATCCTTGTGCAATAGAACAATTTTCAAACAACACAGCTCTACAGTACCACTAAGGGTTAAATTATACATTATTGCCTTTATTTCTGGTCTGGTTCATGTTCACACTGGCTCTTTACAAATGAACCATGAGCTTAAAACACAATGTCATAGGGGCTGGAAGGTAACTCAGGACAGTTTTGCTGATGTCATCCTTCACTATCAGCACTATGCACCATGCAGCACTTTAGTGCTTCTTATGTAACAAAAGAGCTCATAAAGACATAGCATTATTAGTATTATTAGTATTACTAGATTGTAAATGGACAACAGCTTATGAATAGCAACAAACAGGTAGATGCAGAAGAAAAAGAGGTGTTTTATACAGCAATATTACAGGGGGATTACTGTGGAATTGCTTTGTCCCCCACTCTAATGCACTTAATAAACTGGCAAAAAAACACAAGCACAACACAATGTACAAGGTAGATTGTACCTTGTACAGGGTTGCACAATTAAGTTGTAGTTCCCTTTATGCAACTGACGAAACCAAGCTTTACACACAAAAAGCTCTTCCGTCCTGGGCCATGCACATTCCTGGCCAGTTTGTGATGTTTCCAGTCAGTCCTTTTATTGCTCCTCTGTATAAGGCAAGGCAAGTTTATTTGTGTAGCACATTTCAACAACAAGGCAATTCAAAGTGATTTACATAAAACATAAAAGCAACATAGGGAAATAAAAAAAAAAACATATTAAAATATTATTTTTAAAAGGGTGAAACAGAGATAAAAACCATTACAGTGCAGTGTACGATATTGATCTACATTTGATTTAATTAAAGGCAGTGGTAAAAAGAAGTCTTCGGTCTTATTTAAAAGAACTCACAGTTTCAGCAGACCTGCAGTTATCTGGGAGTTTGTTCCAGATATATGAAGCATAAGTTAACAACAACTTGAATTTTCAGGTTTCCTTAAGAAATTCAGTAGTTTGTGAGCTTTCTTCAGCAGCGTAATGTGAGATGAACATGACAGGTTCTCTGTGATGCAAATTCCCAGGAACCTAAAACTTTTCACCTGCTTCTCCTCAGCTCCACTGATGTAGACAGGAGTGTGTGTCTGAAAATCAACAATCAGCTCCTTAGTTTTGCTGCCATTAAGCATTTGGTTGTTCTCTGTGCACCACTCTGCAAGTTTGTGGATTTCCTGATATGTTGTTTGAAATCTGGCCGATAATGATGGTGTCATCCACAAAATTCACAACAGAGTTCTCACCGGATGCAGTCATGGGTGTACAGCGTAAACAGGAAGGGGCTGAGCACACAGCCCTGGAGGAGGGCTCCTGTGTTGGACACTAGAGTGGAGGAGGCATGACCGCCAATCCGAACTGCCTGGGGTCTGTTTGTGAGGAAGTCCAATATCCAGTTGCAGAGTATGGTTAAGTTTGTTGATCAGTTTTATGGGGGAGATTGTGGTGAATATTGAGTTGAAATTCACAAAAGCATTCTGATGTAGGTGCAGTTGTGTGTGAAGACTGAGTGGAGGGCAGTGGAGATGGCATCCTCTATGGATTTATTGATTCTAAAAGCAAACTGGTGTAGGCCCAGGTTGACTGGGATGTTGTTCTTTATGTGCTGGAGAACCACAGCACTTAATTATTATGGGGACAAGAGCCATCTAGACACTGCAGACTTTTTAGGTACAGGGGCAATGGTTGCTGTCTTGAAACAGGTTGGAACCCTGTCCTGTGACAGTAATATGTTGAAGATGACGGTAATAACAACGACTTCTTGATTAGCACAAGTTTTTAGTACACGGCCAGGGTTGTTATCGGGCCCAGCAGCTTTACTCATATTCACTGTCAGCTGGATTCTTCTCACATCTGCTGTGGATACTGACATTTGCCGGTCCTCTGGAGGTGGAGTAGGCTTTACAGCTGACTTTTTATTGAGGAGATCAAAGCAAGCATAACGGGACGGGAGATGCTGTGAGCAGTGATCATCTCAAGGTGCACTGCACTCAATCCTATCCCTGCACCTCCTTTTCCCACGTTGATGAGCGTATTTCTGTCATAAGCAATACATGTTTCATTAATAAAGGCAAAAAATAACAAAACAAAAATGTACAGATGTTTAAGAGAACTGTTGGCCAGCGCATCTGCATGCACCAGACTGAGACCATCCTTTTCATCATCACACCAACTTCTTACTTCTTTCTTAGGAGGTAGAGTGGATTGTGTACTAGTAAGAAGTTCAGTTATTTGATCCCCATGTCCTCCAGTCTGCATGTCTAAGTGTCCTTGTGCAAGATACTGAACTAAATTACTAAATTCTGTTTGTGTGTGTATGAATGTTAGTCTCCTTCTGATGTGCAGTTGGTACAGTCAGGGATGGGCAGTATTTATTATAAAGGTATTTCAAATTTTTGTAATTCTGTGTGGAATTCTTGTGTTGGCCCTGAGTCATGGTTCTGTTAAAGTTTCCATCCTGCTAAAAGGGAGTTTTCCTTGCCTGTGTCGCCAAGTCATTACTCTTGATGGAAATTGTTGGGTCTCTATTAATAATACTACAAAGAGTATGGCTTTATAAGAAGAGTGCAGTGCAAAAGCTTTTATAGGCTGTGGCTCAGGACGTAGAGCGGGTTGGCTGTTAATCGGAAGGTTGGCGGTTCAATCCCCGGCTCCCCCTGGTTGCATGTCAAAGTGTCCTTGGGCAATATACAAAACTCCTGGCGGAACAAACAGCCTGGCAGCTGTGTGAATGTTTCTGTTTGAGCACTTAGGCTCAGTGTATGAATGTGTATGACTGGTGAATGCAGATGTAGTGTAAAAGCGCTTGAGTGGTCAAAAAGACTAGAAAGGAGCTATACAAGTATGGAGCTTTTACATTTATTATGAATTGGCGCTATATATATTGAATTATATTGAATTGAATTAAAATACAAACTAGGTTCTGCCTCTGATTGGAGCCCACTCAGTAATTTGTCCAGACTTTATCCATCCATCGTCAACCGCTTATTCTGCGTACAGGATTGGGGGGCTGGAGCAAATCCCAGCTGACATCAGGCGAAAGGCAAGGTACACCCTGGACAGGTCGCCAGTCCATCGCAGGGCCACACATAGACAAACAACCGCTCACTCACACCTAAGGACAATTTAGGGTCACCAATCAACCTACTCCGCATGTCTTTGGATGGTGGGAGTAAGCCGGAGCACCCGGAGAGACCCCCGTAGACACGGGGAGAACATGCAAACTTCACACTTAAAGGCCGGGGCAACCGGGGTTTGAACCCACAACCTTCTTGCTGTGAGGTGATGGTGCTAACCACTGCACCGCCCATCAGCTTTCCATCAATTTTTAATTGCTCTTAATAGTTCCTGTTAAGTTTTGTTGTCCGTTTTAGTAGCGTAGCTAAGTTTTCGTTTGTTGTACATCAAAGAAACAATAATGAAGTGTTTCAGAGATGGTGTAACTTGTTAAATGCACTTATTGTCATTAACAATGTTGTGCTGCAACACCATCAAACAGCAGGTCAACCCATCTACCACTCATGTTTGTTGTGGCTCACAACTTGTCGTCAAGTGTGGAATGGATGCTGTTTTGTGGTTCGTGAGAATTGTTCCCAAATACATCTGCTATTAAACAAGATCGTGTGGGCACTATATTTGAAAATGAATGCCTCCAAGTCTTTCTCCCTCTTGCAGCTGTACTCCATTTACATTTACATTACATTTACTCATTTGGCAGATGCTTTTATCCAAAGTGACTTACATTTGAGGAACAACATACAAGCATCAACAGAGTATCAAATACAGAACGAGATCTACAACTGACAATACATATTAATAAAAGCAGCAATAAATACTAGTAAGCGCTAATGGCTCATATCACATCAATGGGGTAAATACCTAGGGAAAGAAGTTAGTTTACAAAAAGTGCAATCAATACAAGATAATTGTAGGGGATAGAAGAAGAAGAGCACAGAAAGTGCATGTTAGATTTTAGGAGTTGGAAGTGTTATAAGAGGAAGTGTTCTCGGAAGAGAAGAGTTTTCAAGAGCTTCTTGAAGTTAGAGAGCTCTGCTCTGATGGTATGTGGTAGCTCGTTCCACCATCGTGGTGTCACAGATGCGAACAGCTGGGACTGGGATTGCTTTGTGTGAAGGGATGGCAGAGCCAGGCGGCATTCGTTGGAGGAGCGTAGTGGCCGAGAAGGAAGCATTAGTGACTTGAATCTGATTCTGGAGGCCATGGGTAGCCAGTGGAGGTCCCACAGCAATGGAGTGACATGCATCCTTTTAGGCTGATCAAGACCCACTAGGAGGGCATTGCAATAGTCGAGGCGAGAGGTAACCATGGCCTGTATAAGAAGCTGGGTGGCATATTGAGTGAGGTAGGCCCTGATTTTTCTGATGTTGTATAGAGCAAAGCGACACAACCGAGAGACAGCAGCAACATGGTCTGAAAAGGACATCTGGTCATCAGTCATGACACCCAAGTTTCTCACCACCCTGGTTGTAGTGATGGTTGAGGATCCACAGGAGTGCTTTACCCGAAATGCCCATCGCTGATAGTGCTGATAGCAGGATCCTGTGATTGACTGTGTCAAAGGCAGCTGATAGGTCAAGCAGGATAAGAACCGAGGATTGGCCTGCAGCTTTACAGACAAAAGAGCCGTTTCAGTAGAGTGGCCACTCTTAAAACCAGACTGATATCGAACTAGGAGGTCATTCTGTGAGAGGAATTCTGAGACCTGTTTGAAGCCCGTTCGATAGTTTTGGATAAAAATGGCAGAAGAGAAACTGGCCGATAGTTCTCAACTTGAGTTGGGTCAAATGAGGGCTTTTTAAGCAAGGGTGTAACCCGAGCCCTTTTGGAAGTGGTAGGAGATATTACTTGGAGGAGATTCGTAGGAATCGGGTCCAGTGGGCATGTAGTGGGACGGCTATGGGTCAGGAGTTATGGGTCCGTGTTCCTCACAGATGACTTGGCTTCTCACCCTATCTCTAAGGGATACACCAGCCACCCTCCTGAGAAAAAAAACATTTCAGCCGCTTGTACCCTTATCTAGTTCTTTTTGTCATGACCCAGCCATCATGACCATAGGTGAGGGTAGGTAATTATAGTCTATAGATATATATTGTATATATATTATTGTCTATAGATATATCCACATTCTAAACTGCACTTATACAGAATGTATATACTTATGATATTCAATATACATATACCTATGCTATATGTACAGTTGTTAGTAGGTTATATTATGTGTCTATATTGGTAACTTGCTGTGTGTGTGTGTGTGTGTGTGCGTGTGTGTGTGTGTGTGTGCGCGTGTGTGTGTGAGAATACACGCAACAACAGTCACAGTGATTATGGGTTCCAGGGTGGAAGGGTAATGAGATTAGAATGAAGAGCAGAGTGTAAAGCTCACTGGAGTTAGAGGCGGCGTGGGAGTACGAGGGCCCTTAAAGTAGTTTTAGAGCTCTTCTCTTCTCTGTAGTTTTGATACTTTCCCTGACAGTGAGCTGGGAACATTTTCATTACCGATTAATCTAACAATTATTTTCTAAATTGTTTGGCCTATCAAATGCGAGTAATAAAAATGTCTATCACATTATCCAGGGGCCCAAGCAGACATATTCGGATGTCTTGTTTTGTTGAACAACAGTCCAAAATCAAAAATTAGTAAGTTTAATATCATAAAAAATGAAAACCTGCAAAAATTTAATTTGAGATGCTGGAACCAGTGACTGCAATGTACTGGCGATCTGTCCAGGGTGTACCCTGCCTTTCGCCTGATGTCAGCTGGGATAGGCTCCAGCCCCCCGCGACCCTGTACGCAGGATAAGCGGCTGACGATGAATGGATGGATGGATGGATGGATGGAACCAGTGAATTTTGAGCATTTCTACTTAAACAGTTAATTGTTTTACACACGGTAGCTCCGGTTTAATCTTGAGAAGACTGACACAAGGCAGAGCGAGAAAGACTTATTAGAAATTCATCACAGGAACTAAAGAGAGATTGTGAAATAAAGGATCTTCCTTATTGAACTTAAACAAAAGCTTTGGAGTTAAAGAATTAAATCAGGTTAGGTGCTTTATCACTTGTGTGATTCATTTTTTCCCTTATTGTATTTGCAGTGCTGAAAAGGACCAAGAAGAGTAAGGATGACCTCATCAATGCAGAGGAAGGCGAGGATCACTTCACCGACATCTCATCTGTTGGTGAGGATGATAATTTGAGGCATAGTATCTGCCATTATACTGCAAGTCTCCATACTCTTCAGCCTTTAAACTGTGTTAATATTGTACTGTATGTTGAAGGCAACACACAAACTGCTTGTTCGCACTGTGGGTAATTTGTAAATAAAAGCAAAGATTTAATGAATATATATAAACAAATAACAGTTTGTATAAAAGAAATGGTTTTTTTTTTACTTTCTTGTCCTGCTGATCATCTGTTGATCCCTCTGATTTATATTGTCTAGTCCTGCTGTCAGGGTTTTTCCTGACTCAAAATGAGTCGGAGGTGGTACTAATAATTTGCATGTGCTACCAACGTAAGCCTGATTTTCACCGCTTAGCTAGCTAATGTTAGGTTGCCGTGGCTCTTTTTTGTGCTCAGTGCTTGGAGGAGCTGCCAAAAATGAAACTGACTCACATATACCATCTTGCAAAAGCAAGAAACTCTTCCAAGCAGAGTAAAAGAGCCATAGTGACCCAACATTAGCTATGCTGTGAAAACATTGGTGTTACACTGAGTAACTAGCTAACATTGCAACACTTATCTGAGACACTGAGGTGATTATCAATGATCAAGAAAACTATATACAAAAACGAACGATAAATACTGTTAACATGTACAAAGGTAAGAGTAACGTTACTGTAGAGTTGACAGAAGGTTAACAGATGTGCAGTTCATAAAACGGATATCCGTAACTACATTCTGCAAGTAGAGAAAATTAGCTACTTTCACAATTTATGTTTCTCATTTTGAAATTAAATAGAAATAAGTAGTTTAGCCTTTTCCAGCCCTGTTTCATGGTCATTACTCAGAAACTACAACAAGTGGTTCCAGGTAACAAGTCACAGCAGTAAACATATAATTTGTACAGTATTACCCTGAAGCAAAAGGGAATGTTTGCAACACATGTGATGATACATTTTAGCATTAAAATGTGCTAAAAACCAATTTTGACATCCAAGAACTACAATATAATAGTTTTGCCTTGTTACTATCTTTAAATATGTTTCTACATGTCCCTTTTGTTACTAGCCCCTTGTTACCCAGTTACACACATTTCAGTCAAATATTACCCAGATATATCCTTTGTTGATACCTTGCTATTACCTGGCTTCTACTTGGTTATTACCTAATTATTACTACTTTATTATCAAACTATTATCTCACTATTAGCATGTATTGGCGTCGGCCCCAACCCTGCATGCAATGCTGGAAACCAGCAAGAGCATCTCCTTAACAGTATGCTCAAGATATTTGATCAGCACTGCCTAGTTTGATAGTTTAATCTGAGTTTTATGAGCCTAGTTCAGCGGACTGGATGGGCCTGCAAACTGGACGCACAACCACAACCTACATCCAATCAGAGCAGCAAGACGTGTGACTTTTCAAATCACTCCTCTTTCAGTCATCGCATCAAACCTGCTTCTTATTAAATGAAGAGTTGTGATTGGCCTGACCAGAGGGGGCAAGTGAAGCATGAGTTCGACAGATTTTCTGGTTCCCAGGGTAGTCAACCATGCTACAGTCAAACTCAACTAACAGCTGAGTCCCAAATTGCTGCCTGTCCCCTTTACTAGCTTGTTCTGGTTTTTATAGAAGTACCTCCTAAAGTCCATGGGTTGCCTGCTTTAGCTGCTTCTAAGCTGCTTAGATCGTCAATAAAAATATAAATGTTTAAACTTCTGTCAGTATGGACATGCATCACATCGTTAGATCGGTTAGATCCTCCACAAATCAATCGTTCATTTTATGGAGAGAAGAACCCCAAAGTCTAATTCACTCAGATTTACATGCATGGTAAACAAGAGAATTTAAAAAAGTGCCATCTTCCTAAGCGCTCTTTAAGTCCGTAATATATCAATTTCTTGATTATTAATATTGACCGATCAAAAGAATCAAAACATCTTTTCATAAAAATTTATCCTGTCCTGTGAATACTGTCACGTGAAGCCCATTGCTCACTGTCTGCTCATTTCTGCCACACGTTTCTCTGCATCCTGCTCCGTGTTGTTGGGTATGCTTATTTTCGTTAAATTGCTGCCTACAAAATTTGGAAGGGCAGGTGCTCAAAGTATAAAAAGGGCACATGGAACAAGGATTTAAATAGGACTCTTCTCATACTATTGACATAGAAATATATCGTTATGTATTCCTTGTTGACATACATATACAGATGCTTCTGTATCGATACATCAGCAAATGCTGTGACGCAAAAAGAAACAGGGAATACCCAACTCTAGCTTTAAAACACTGTGGGATGACATAACTTACAGGGAACAGTTGCTGTTGAGGTGTTGCTATGGATGCGGCTGCTGCTGCTGTTGTGTTGTTGCTGATACTACTGGAGGTGATCTGTGACTACAGATATTAAAACAACTATAGGATATATATTAGCTGATTTAACAATTATGTGACCATAAAAAGATTGTTGAGTGTTTGGGACTAGCTCACAGTGACTGACCTGCTGTAATACTGCAGCCATTACCAAGGCTGACTGCTAGGGAGACTCTCACAGAGCTGCAGAGCTGCAGGTAGAGAAAATAAGATACCAGATTTTAAAAAAGTGTGGGAAATAATCTGAGAAGGAAAGGATTAATGGGGAAAAGGATGAAGGTGGCCATGGCAGGGGTAAGAGTGAGACAAACAAATCTATAGACAGAGGTGTGTGTGTGTCTGTCTGTGTCTACAGTATGCAAAATTGTGATGATTTTATATATTGCATTGTGAATCTGAGATATATTTGGATTTTTATTGACTATATGTCTAATCATATATCTAAATAAATAAATTAGCATTAATCTTTTATAATATTCCTGACATCAAATTAAAAAGTGAAGAAGAAACGGCCCTATTAGATTTCAGAAAAATGTATGAAATGTTTAATAAAATATTATTTATTTTACATTGGCACTGACATTTTTATATGTATTTCCAGTTATTGAGTTTTTATTGTAGTTGAGCAACACTACTGTTGCTGTCAAAATGTAAATATATTCAATACTGTTCTGAATTTAATGAATTTATTTTTTTTTAAGGGCTGAAGTAGGCTATAAGTCAGAGGAATAGGCTTAGAATTTTACCAATGTTGTTATACTTATTTTAATGCACAAGGCTTTTATTAAGTTACTTTAATAATCCTAGTTCAAGTGCAAAGATTTAAGTCAAATTACATAGAAAAGATCAGACCTCTCGACATCCGTGAAACTTTTCTCCCCCAAACAGAACGAAGTAAACAGAGCACCTTTGTTTATAGTGTAGAAGTAACGTACGTGTCGTCGTGTTAGCCGGCAGCTGATATTACTTCTACGGGCAGGCGACACAGCAATATACACAACAATTGTGCATGCTCTCTTTGCAACAATCCACAACAAGCACATTGCAGCAAACCCCTCTTAACAGCGGAATCGAAGGTGTCCAGTAGGCAGTGCTGCTGAATCACTAACGGTGTCTGAACGGGAGAGCTCGTCACGGATGAAGTCTTCAGGTGAAAGGTCATCAATTGGGTCATTTTATTTAATGAAGGAAATTTTGCGTATTAAAAATGGGCACTTTGGGCGGCAAAGGGCAAAAGGCCAGGTGCTCAAGCACCCATTGCACCCCCCCTGCACATGTCTGGATCAAATGAAGATTTTTATATTCGTCCTGGGTGAAACAGTGTGATAATAGCCTATTTTAGTTTTGTGTGAAAGGAATTAAATGGCCCGTCCTATATGGACCACTGTTGCAAATTCAGGCAGTGTCAATTCAGTGATTTTATCTAATAAAAGTCCAGGCTATTAATCAAGTTTTACTGTATGTGCCCAGAAAGTTCACCATTGAATAACTAGTGGCACCATGTTTAAAAGCTGCTGTATAGAGTATAAGAAGAGATCTGTGGCTTCAGGCCATCCACAGAGGGAAAGAGAGTAATTTACTTGTGTGCCAATTGTGCCTATAGATCAAAGCTAATCAGGAAAGAGTGATGGGGTAAAGTTTTTACTGTGAAAAAATATGACCCTACCATAAAACACATCGTTTTAGTTTGGTTTATCAGTCTGTCCACTTGAAAGACTTTAAAGTTAAAGCTGGGGTAGGCAATTTATTTCAGAAGTATTTGTTTGTTTAAATTCTTTACATCCTGACAGCAAATAAATGCTCTAACACAAAAATGAAAAAAATCTAGAAACTGAGGCAGCCGTAGGACTGTAATAAGCACGGACAAGAGGTGCTTAAACTGACTTGTTTTCTACTTCGCGGCTTGTAGCAAAAAGTTGCAATAAGCACAAATGGCTTCAAAATACAGACAGTTGTTCCTCTTCACCACAGCTATGTCATTAGTTTACATTAACGACAGATTGGACTGACTACCAAACCGGCACAATTACCCATCTTGACGACAGATCACAAATACATTATCTGGTAGCAGACTGAAAGGATCAACATATGTAACAACTGCAATGACATAACATAATTGTTTGCTTGACTGGCCATTAGAGTTGAGCTCCTAATATCTAAAAACTAATACGGTATTGTTATTTTATGCTATTAAATTGGCAAATACCATAGAATTTGCATTTTCTGCAAGTCAAATTAGATCAGCTGATTTCACCCAAAAAGGGGAAGGGGCGTGACACAAGGGTAAAAATTTGTGTATGGTACATTCTTTCATTATTTCCTTTTAAAACCAAATCGGAAAAAACAAAAAACCAAGTCGTTAAACAGAAAACAAAAAAACAGCCAATCGGTTTTTGTTTTTCTGTTTTAAAAACAAAACAGAAAAATATTGATTTTGATTTTTAATGTGTCCGATTAGTGAAGCTTTGTGTGTTGCACTTAATAAACCTGCAACAGACAGGCTACACTTGGGCGATGGCGGTGCCTGAAAAATATTTATTTTGGTGTGTCCCTTTAGTGTAGCTTTGTCTGTTACACTTAATAAACCTGCAGCAGACAGGCTACACTTGGGCGATGGCGGTGCCTGAAAAATATTGATTTTGATGTGTCCCATTTGTGTAGCTTTGTGTGTTACACTTGGACGAGGGCGGTGCCTGATTAAATGTAATTAAGATGAGCTTGAACATCAACATAGGTGGGTTTTTAGTTAGAAAAACCGGAGGCTCACCGTTCAGTTTGTAACTCACTGGCAACTGGAGAAGGAACAGAAACGCCTCAGAAGTTGCCTAAGAATCCTCCGGTTTGTAAGATTTCTTCAGTATCAAATTAATTTAGTGATAGTTGTGAGTATATCCAATGGTACACAGCAAACATGAACTGTTATTAGTTAAATCAGCGAGCTGTATATTAACGAATCATACACGGATTAAAAGGTTAGGGTAATTTTTGTTCAGCCTCTCTACACTGTTTCGACCTGACCTTTATTTTCTTTGTGAGATAGAAGAATTTAGAAAGTTGGGCGGCCTCCAGCTACAGGAACACATGGATCAGGCTATGCATATAACAGGAGCATCGAACGTCCAGCCAGTGCGCCAGTTCCACTGGCAACACAACGCATATTAGGTCTACCGGTTAGGGAGCGGGGCGCTGGAGTGTACAGGGCGAGGGAGAGGAGGTCACGGGAGAGGAGGTCGCGGGAGCTGCGGACGGGTCGGTGATTGGATGAAGCCCAATGCAGACCACAGCTGTTGCAAACAACAGGCGCACGTGTACAGCAGCAAGTTAGTTTTAAAAGCAGTAGGGATGCAACACTGGTCAAAGATGGAACAAAACGCAGCTCCTTTGTTTTCACTTATGGGTTTAAAACAGAAAAATAAAACAGATGTATGTTTTTTTGTTTACCGTTTTCTATTTTTCTGTTTTGGTTTTAAAACAGAAAAACCAAAAAACTACTTGGTTTTTTGTTTTTTTCCGATTTGGTTTTGAAACGAAATAATTAAAGAACAAACAATAAATGGATTCTCATTCTCATCTATGGAATTCTGTGAATTCAATCAACCTGAGAACTATTTTATAATCTATTTTATAATTTTTATAATTTCACCAGCATGTCAACAACCCCAACTGGGGAACCAATACCCTGGACCATGTTTACACAAATATTTCTCCCCAGCCCCAATTTTGGTCAATCAAACCTGTTTTCTCCTATGTACTTTACTTCCAGCTAATTAAAAGGGTCAAGCCATCACAAAAAACAGTTTAAATGTGGACAGATGAGGCTACAACAGCTGTACAGGACTACTACTAACCCACTAAGCTGAAATCAACTCTTTATTCACCTCTACTTTTCCATATTTAGCAATCACTCCACAACACTGGGCTGGGCCATATGTCCAAAAATGTTATCATGATAAAAAATTTCATATCATTTGAAATTGCTAATTATCGTGATAAATATCAGATCACTATTTCTTTCAAGTTTAAAGGCTGATTTATGCTCCTGAGTGAAATTTGCAGAAACCATATGGTTAATTGTAGTTTTAAACTTTTCTTTATGGTCAGAACAAGCACTTGATGCCAAACAGTGGGTCATTTCACAAATCTCAGGTAGAACATTTAAAACAAATATGATAAAATCTTTTTTCAACAAATATGGATAAATAAAATTAAATAAAATCCTTTTTCAGTCCCTTTTCCTCAACAAAATAAATTTCTTAACAGAAAAATTGTGCTAATTCGTTTGTGATTCAAGTTAATTAAATCAAGCATTTATTAAACAGTTGTTATATTGTTATTGAGGAAAATTAAATCACTATAATTATCATTATTGTTTTATTGCCCAGCCCTACCTAAAACAATGCAATATTGTTTTTTTGGGTGACCTGTGTATTCAAAAGTCTCCAAAAGGATTGTGCCATACGCTTATGGTCGTACATTGCAACCTATTTAATATGTACTTTTTTATAGAAGTGGAGATGCATTACTCGGTCTAGCTCTCTCACCCAAATGAGGGAGTGGTACCACAACACGTAGCTTTAATGTCGTGAGCTGTATGCAGCTGACATAACGTTAATGTAATTTAGCTTACACATTAGCTACTAGCTTTATGTGGCCTGTCTCATCATTGTTTAACAGAAGCAAAAATGTAACTTATGAGCAAATTCTCACCACACACCCTGTCCTCAGTCTCACAAAGTTAACACTGCATTAGCTAACTTAACATATCGAGGGAAGTATCATTAAATAAATTAGCTAGCTTCTGCACCTAGCTAGGTTGGAAATGGCTGGCAAGCAACTGAAACTAGTGCCCTTAAACATACAGTATATACTTAGGTAATCTTGCTAGCTTTGCTAATGTCAAATACCCATAGCTTACCTTTATTTATGCTTTTTTTATAATTGGCAGCATCTCTTAAGGTTTCACTGCATAATTTACTGATTGCTTTTTGTTTTCTTCTGCACATTGTTTTACGGATTAATTCTTTATGGTTAGGTAGCCAAATGGTATTAGAAAGATTTTGCTGACAAATCCTACCACTCCCAGACAGCAACAGCTTCTATAGATTATTTCATCGATTTATTGATGCGTCGTTGAAGAAGTACTTTTGCGTTCTTTTGCTTGGTGGCGGCGGCACACCCCTCCCCCTCTTTTATCTTGAAATAATCCAATACTTTGGACACTTTCTTCTTTGTCCCTCGTTATTTTCTCCCTCCTCCTCCACTTTGCAAACAGCGGCATCATAATCATGTTGTGTTCACAAAGCGTAAGCGTCGATGCATTTTAGTACTCGATTTAATTGATTTAATGAATGAATTCTTTCATACCGAAAGGGTAACAACACATTTTATTTAGCTTACAATGAATCACATCATTGATTGCGTTTGAGGCAGTATGTTTTATATCCAATCAAAGTTACAATGTTGACAAATAAATCACACAATGCACAGACAGTTTATTGATATCCTCATAGTTGTGGTTTTGACTGGTCCAAAATGGTCTGGAGTACTACAACACTACTTTACAGAGCAAGAAACACTGCCTTTCAGTCAGGTAACAAAGAAGCATAGCACCACCAAAGCAAGACTGAAAGGAGGTGAAACAGAGATATCATGACAGACTGGAGAGAGACCTCAACACTAACAGCACCAAAGATACAGTATGTGGCAAGTGATCCAGACCATCATGGGCTGCATAAGTAGGAGCGCCATGTGTGAAGCCACATTGCCAGATGAGCTTAACACATTTTATGCTCGCTTCTATCTCCTCAACAAAGAGTCAGCTGTCTACTCCGCCCCCAAGAATCCTGCTGAGAGTAAATATGAATAAAGCTGCTGGGCCTTAAATATCCCTGGCAGTGTACTAAAAACCTGTGCCAGCCAACTAGTTGATGTCATTACTGATATAATTTACATCTCACTGTCACAGGGGATTGCTCCCACGTGCAAACCACCACTGTCCCCTTACAAAAAGGTCTGCAGTAACTAATCTACCTACTGCCCCATGGCATACTGATGTGAGTGATGAAGTGCTTTGAGAAACTGGTTCTCCAGCACATAAAGAATAACATCCCAGCTAGCTTGAACCAAACCAGTTTGCATACAGAACCAATACATGCACAGAAGACGTCATCTCCACTGCCCTCCACTCAGTCTTTACACAACTTGAGTAAAACAACACCTACATTAGAATGCTGTTTGATGATTTCAGCTCAGCATTGAACACAATCTCCCCTATGAAACTGAGCACTGTGGGCTTGAGTACTACACTCTGCAAATGGATAGTGGACTTCCTGACAAACAGACCCCAGACAGTTTGGCTTGGCGGTAAAACCTCCTCCACTCTAGGGAACTGGAGCCCCAAAGCTGTGTTGGAGAGTGCCAACTTCAAAGTGACAAGTACATTGTTCTGCAGTGAAATAATTAAATCTTTGGTTGAAAAGTTACTACTCTCAAACATAGTCTTGATATGGTAAGATCACATCAGTTTTAGACTTGGTAACTTTATTGCCTTTTTGTATGTTTTGTTCCAACTGCCCCCCCAGGATCACCGTTCACCCGGGCCAGCATGAAGAGCAAGAACGAGAGCTCATCGTACTTTAGGAGGAAAGAGAAGAGGATTCGCTTCACCATTCGCCATCTGGTCAAGTCCCAAAGCTTCTACTGGACTGTGTTGTGTCTGGTTGGCCTTAACACATTGTGTGTGGCCATAGTACACTACGACCAGCCTGAGTGGCTCACCTATGCGCTATGTGAGTACCAGCTGTTGTATATAGAGAGATTAATTGTCATTACATTTGACCATTTATACATACATTAAAATATTCAGAAATAAATATTCTATTGCACCCAAAGTCTTTAACCACTGAAATGGTTTTTACTGCATAGATAATTTGAAGTTGAATTCATAATCAATAAAACACACTCTTGCTTAATTTAAGACAGTCATGGGTTTTATCATTACAGCCTTACTTGGTCTAGCATGACCAGTAGCTTGTGGTGGCTCATTTTAGTAAACTTCAAATAAAGATTGCTGTATTACTGACATTAGTGAGTCAGTTTGATGCCTCCTGTCTACTGGTGCTACTGTTACAAAACGTTTTAGCATTTATCATTTTCCTAAAATGATCTAAAAAAAAAATGATCCCACTCTGTGACCACAGTGGCTACTGTTCAGCAAAAGTTACATAGTCTTCCTTTAAAGTTGAAAGCTCAAATATTGTGCTTCCATCACAAATCTTGATCAACACAATAACCACTATTTTAGGAGCATTGCATTATAACATGCATTACTACCAACTTTAGTTTCAATAATATCATTTTAGCATGGTGCTATGGTACAGTAGTAGGAGACAAAGGAGACTAGCTAATTAGAGGGCATAAGTCACATTACTAACTAGACATGGTAAATTGGGACAGTTTTACGGTAGACAGAATATCACAACAGAATAACAGTGAATAAAATATACATATTTATAGAGTTAGTCAGTGGTTCCAATAAGCTGAGTCAAATGGAACCTCTGATCATGTGTTTAGAACCTGCATTTCCTTTGTTTAAATTACATTTAAAAACGTGAATTCAGAGTGTGAATGAAGAATCATGCAGTGTAGCCCACGTATACAGGGTAACCTCGAGTTAACCACAAAGATAACCTCCTCAGAGCGAGCAGTTTAGAGATGCATTGTAAATTACCATGGCAGCATTCCTTGGGTAAAACCTACACACCTTTCGTAGTACGGGTTAATCGGGAAGTTACACCTGACATCACAAAGTTACTTCTAAAGTTACCTAGATAAGCCAGTTACCTCGCTTCGTAGTACAGGCCACAGGTGTCCCCACCATACTACCAGTCATCCAACACAATTAATACCTATATCATCATCAGAAACATGTAACTAATTCCAGTTTTTGGCAGTACAAAATGTAAAAGAGTAAATACCCAGGTTGATATTAAGCCATGTTTAACTTGTTAATATTAAACCATAGCAAGCGAAAGTCGACAGCACTAGCTCTAGTCTGGCATGACTTCTCCCAACCCTACAAAGGTGGTGCTGGAGGGTTGAGGTCCCAAAGCACTGGATCAAACACCTGCAGCTGTCCATCATACATAAGTTTTTCTTTTGACTAACCTGTGCATATCCTAAGTAACTTTTAACATAATCTTGCCTGCATACTGATATTACATGTATCTGCTTTATTATTATTATTATTTATTATTATTATTATTTATTTGTAACTGCTACTCTAATTCCTGATAATTTTCTACTCTGCTCAGGCAGATAATTTTGGTGTCCCGCTTTACATCTAAATAGTGACGGAGAAAACTGAAAACGCACAAGAAGATATAGAAGAAGAAGATATACTTTACAAGTGCAATTATACATTTCAAACACACAAACACATATGTGAGCAAACATTTCAAATACTCTGTCATGGGGAGAATACAGCAGTTATTTCTTCAAACAACAGACTATTTTTGTGTCTTATTTGCTTTGGGTGCAGCTGAACAGGCAACTGTTACCCAGCTCTATTGAATTGTGGAAATTAGCAGGACCCTTTTTAACCAGGGAGACTGATCTTTGTGTTTTCATATTGTCACTGGACAGACCTGGCAGAGTTTGTATTCCTAGGCCTGTTTCTGGCAGAGATGTCCATGAAAATGTATGGCCTCGGACCCCAGAACTACTTCCACTCCTCTTTCAACTGTTTTGACTTTGGGGTGAGTCGTCCTGCTCTTCTGGGAGTTCAATCAATCCACAGTGGTTTTTGGAGTGTGGGCATGAGTAGAGTAATCCAAATGATTGAGGAATGTCGCTTTAGAACAAATGTGTTTAATTATTGTCAGAATAGCAAAAAGTTATTGCATTGATATATATATATTATTGCTTAATGAAGATCTGGAAATGGAGGCCTTCTGCACTGATCCGACTGTGTTCACAGGTGATTATTGGCAGTATTTTTGAGGTGATCTGGGCTGCCATCAAACCCGGGGCCTCATTTGGGATCAGTGTCCTGCGGGCTCTGAGACTTCTCAGGATCTTCAAAGTCACCAAGTGAGTCATCAGAATAATTCTGTTCAATGTCTGTGTGCTTGGGAATACTGGTTATGTCATAATATTTATGTATATATTCATCTGTCTAGGTACTGGAACTCTTTGAGGAACCTGGTGGTGTCCCTGCTCAACTCCATGAAGTCTATCATCAGCCTGTTGTTCCTCCTCTTCCTCTTCATCGTGGTCTTTGCTCTGCTGGGCATGCAACTGTTTGGTGGCCAGTGAGTACTTTGAATTCAGCCTGCTTCTGCTCGCTGTGAAGAAATAAACCGCTATTGATAAGATCAGTGGCTCCCAAGGTGGGGTGTGTGATCACCTAGAGTACCAGTGAATTTAGCTTTGAACTGGACTGACAAAATTTCAATGAAAAATTGCACACTTTCCTCAAGAGTTATAACTCAGTCCATGACAAACCCCAGCAGCCTTGCTTTTCCTCTATTTTTTCGTGTTCTCTGATAGTATATATTGCTTTAAAAACACTGGATCACAAACTTTGTTAACTGTGTTTTCATGAGGCCATCAAAATGCATTCATTTGACAAGGAAAATGACAAAATCAGTGAAAATGAGACTTTAGTTTTCTTTGACATTAACATGGTTACTGTGTCCCTGGAACACAGACACTCTCTTCTTTCCAGTCATATACAGAATTGAAAAACTGTAGACATACTGTACAGACAAAAACAATTTAAATAGCTTTGATTTTAAAAAAGATTTGATTTTAACATTGATTGGTTGACTGATGATTTGGATTATATAAAGGCTGTTTCTTTCAGCCTTATTTATCTCATTTAATCAGTGAACCCATTAGGCTTAATTTGAAGAACCTAAGATCTACTCTAGTTGATTTAATGTTTTCTAATCGGAGTGATTGTCACGGGTTAGGCTGAGTGCCAACTGAGGTGTGGACCCAAATGCAGACAATACGAGAGGTGGTGCAGTTCAGAAAATATTTATTAACTTAAACAGGCTTCCACGGGAGCTTGAGGCAAAAGTCCAAAAAAAGGTAATTCCAACAGAAACATAATCCACAGTCAAAATCCAAAAACAAGGAACAAAGTACTATCCAAAGGTAAGATCCAAAAACATAGAGAACAGAGCACGGGAGAACACTCACGACGAAGGCGGGATCTCTCAGGAGGACGGCGACGAAGGCAGGATCTCTCAGAGAAGAATTTATAGTACAAAAATGTGTGCCTCTATTGAAGACCAATGTGCAGTTTGCTATTTTGAAGCATGGTAGCTTGTAGTCTTTAATCTCACACTTTGCTCGTGAAACATTTTTCCGGTTTGCCAGTATCTATTTTTAGAGGCATATGCGAGTGAAATCGAAACTGTGGAGCCCTGTGTGGGTATGGATAATGTACAGTCTGCAGAGCACACAGTGATAAGAGTGACACGCACACACACTTGTTTAATTAAATTGCATCCCTTTTGCAGTTATGCAATCGCACAGGGTGACATTGCCATTGCAACTGGGATTAGATTAATCGTACAACCTTAATTAGAATAGTATATCAGTCTTGCAGTGCTGTTTCCCAAATTTAGTGTTAATAATTATTAAAAAGGACCTTTATAGTCCAAGTTTATGTTGAGAACATTGAGTTCGAATTATGTGAGAAATTTCAAGTCAATCGGAAGTAACCAAAATTGCATTAATTACAGAGCTACCTTCTGGCTTCTTATGTTCTTATCACTGGAGGTTGGCTGGCTCAGCTCGGAAACTTCATGAGTATCGGGCCCTTTGCAAAGGAGTTCAGACATGTCAAGTTTGGTACATGTACTTTAGTTAGTATAGTTTAGTTACAACAGCATCTTGTTTCATGGTAAAACATGAAAATTGTTTGTCTTTTGTTTAGAAATACAGCAGAAATACAAGCTCTCTTTGAAGAGAGAGAGAGAGAGAGAGAGAGAGAGAGAGATTATTAAATATCAATTACCCTTTTAACTACAAACAGAAGAACTGAAACCCCAGAAGTGTCCCTTCTGCAAGCTGGTACTGAGAGTTATTGATCAAATAAACACACACAATTGTTCAACCTCAGACCATAGCCATAGAATAAGGACGACACATCACTGAATTTGACATACAAAGTTACATGAACACATACAGTACATATGGACGGTTTTGTTGTTATATACTGTATTTTATCTATAGTATTTATAATAATATTACTATGTATATTACTATTTGTGTTTTTTAGTAGTACTATTTGAATATTGTCCAAATATTTGATCTGTTTGTACTTGGACGCTTTGGCAAAATTGTTTTCAAAACGTTCATGCTAATAATGCCATTAAATCGCAGTAGGAGATGCAGCACAATGATGTCTTAAAGAGATGGTATTATGCTTTTTGGCTTTTTCTTTCTCCTTTATTGAGTTATGTATCTTTTTTTCCCCATGTCCCACAGAAAACACTGCTCTGAAAACAGCTTGTTTGTAGTCCAGCCTTTTCCCTTTCATGAAAGCAAAATGCGCCTCATTTAACAATCGCCAATTGGCTAGTCCGACATGCCCTCAAAAAGAGTAGAGGCAGAGCTCAGTTATAACTTTATGGATGAAAGATACTTTTGTTCCAGATTAATAACTCACCACTCTGAAACTCTTGCTCCAGTCCATGTTGCTAAGCTGGTAACGGGAACATATACAGCTGAACAAAAGCCGTGTTTACCGGCTTCTCAAATTCCAATTCAAATTAGCTTTATTGGCATGAATGTATAGCAACAATATTGCCAAAGCTATATATAAAGTACATAAGGACAATTAATTTCACTTCTCACTGGCCCGCCCTTCTCTGCTTCTGATTGGCTAGTAGTCCTTTACTAGGAACTGCGCATGTGAACTCCCAACAAAGATCATGTAGAGGCAAGATGTATCACTCCATAGCTAAAACGAAGCAACACACAGGGTGAAAAGAGGAGCTGCAGCAATGTGCAGTATGACAAACCTTAGCTTGCTTGGAAAGGGAGGGGTGAGCGGTGACTGATGGTGCATTCATGTGATGTCGGAATAATCAGAAACTTTTTTTTCCTCCTTTAGTCTTTATTGCAAAAAGAGAAATTAAGTGTACATGGGACATAAAGAAGTATACAGTACTTTGATTCGTGCAAAATCACGTATTACATATACATAGCTGCTCTGCATATGTAGAGTGAACTAGATGTCTGCGTGTTTGTTATATGCTCTGATAATGCTAGTCCAATTTTTGTAGTAGTGTCCGTGTCGATTCCACAATCCAACTTAAGAGCACATGAACACACAGTGAAGTCAGAAGAACGACTTCACTGTGTGAGTTGTGAACTAGGGAAATGGGACCATCCGAGGATAACGTGAATGCACCGTGAACCGCTGGTTGCAATTCGCAACCTTCACCACTAGATGCCACTAAAACTTACACACTGAACCTTTAAATGAAATTTGAGGCATTTACTCTCCTCTTTATCTTGTTTTTATTTTCTAATTCACTCTTTTTAATTGTATTTAAATGTCCTTTTTATATAAGCAATTGTATGTTGCTTTTAGGTTTTGTGTAAAGCGCTTTGAATTGCTTTGTTGCCAAGACTCTTGTTGAACATGTGAAATTTGGAAAAGATCTGAGAATGTGGAGTTGAGTTACCACAGTTACTTTTTCATCAAACAACATCAAAACATCAAACCAGTAGGGCACAAAATGTACTTAAGTTGTAAAACACAGAATTCAGAAAAATGTGGGAAAAAATTTAACTGATTTCAAAGAGGCTAATGAGCCCCCTGGCTACAACAGAGCTCACTCAATACGGTTCTTCCCATTGAAAATTCCTTGAAAATATTTTTCAGGTTCCTGAAATATCCCCATCCGGGTTTTCCTCTCTGCTTTCTGTGGTTGTCTTTTAATGAGAAGAGCTGTCATGGAGTTTTGGAAAGCACAAGACAAATTCTGCTGCCATTCCAACCTCCTATCTACATCTCTCACATTGGGATGAGATGTAATTTGGTCCCAGTATACAGGTGGACTGACTGTGTTGTTGCTTTGAAGCTTGATTACATTCAAAGAATTTTTTCTCTGCAGATTTAATTTTGAAGACGAAACACCGACAACCAATTTTGACACATTCCCAGCAGCAATTCTCACCGTCTTCCAGGTAAAGATCAATTCCATCATGCTTTATTTTGTGATCTGCTTATACCACTGAGCTAGCCTAAAAAAACAGCCTGTCTCTCTCCTGTAGATCCTAACTGGGGAGGACTGGAATGCAGTGATGTACCATGGGATCGAATCACAGGGGGGTGTTCATGGGGGAATGTTCTCCTCCATTTATTTCATCGTCCTCACTCTCTTTGGAAACTGTATCCTTTTGGATTGATCCGAATCGATTCAACTTTGTGGCTATCAGGCGGCACTGTGAAAGAATGTACCACTGATTTAAAGAACAGCTGCAGTTGTAAATATTGATTCTGTGTTTATCAATCATTTGATCTTTTCCTGAAACCACAAATAACAAGACACGCTCCTCAACGTGTTCTTGGCGATTGCTGTTGATAACCTCGCAAATGCCCAAGAGCTTACTAAGGTACATAGCAATTTACAAAGTAGCACAATCTTACCCACAGAATCCAGGAATTAAAGTGTTTGACTAAATCAAATCAAATCCCACATGACCTTGGCCTTTTATCCCCCTATTTGACAGTGAATTTTCACACGACCAATCACACACTCCTTTCATCATTACAATGTATGCAGCATGTCAATAATTGCACACAATATGTGCCACTATTAGTCCCCACCCTGGTGGATCACCAAAAATAGTTCAACTGTATTAGCTCTGTTAAGTGTGTACACATTAGATGAAATCTCCTGGTTGCTCAAATCTACTGGGCATTCTGTATTGATGATTTTGCTATCAGTGTGGATAAAAGAACCAACTTCTCCATAGATAATTCTCATCATAAAAGGACTTACTGTAATTTAGGGCTGTCCCCAACTAAGGATTTACATAGTCGAATCAGAATTGTCAAGTCTTTCCTATAGTCGACTGATGGTCAAATCACATGTGTCTGTGTGGCAGTGATTGCGCGCTGCAGGGGGGTTACCTATGGTAGCTCCGCTTTTATCTTGAGAAGCAGCAGACCTGCAGTGTCTGTTTATTAGTCAGTGTAACTTTCACCGTACATTAATATAATATTTATTTTTGGTTCATCAATGGTGATGAATGATCCGAACGTCCCACGAGGTGCGGACAAATCGGCACAACACCGGCGAAGCTGGGGCTTCGTCTCTTCAGCAAGGGCCTTTCGGAAACTAGACCCTCGCCACTTCCACTCCGACACGGAGTGAACTCTGGTGGGAGTCACCCTCACAGCCAAATCGAGCTCCCTTAATTAACGCAGAGGGTGTAAAACTGCAGCCAACTTTCGGATGAATTTCCCTCTTTCCCTCTCACTAGCGGAACTAGGATCTGACGCAACAGTATGTCGGTATGATTTCCAAACAGCATCTGGCAAGAGCAGCAACAGCGGCTGTAATCCACCAGATGTTGGAAAATGAAAAACTGCAATCCATGAGACGATGAAATGCATTAGTCTATATAAGGGTTATATAGTAGGCTGTATAATTTTTGTGTTTTTGAGTCATCTTAATTATCAGAAGCTCTGTCAGTCTTGCGAGCCGAGATCTCGAGTGTAGCATTTCAGGCCACAGTCAGTTCTAAATACATGGCAGCTATTAGTTATCTTTTAGTGACCTTTGATAAATACATCCCATAGCGCATTATGTTGGCTTATTCAATAAATGTCAAAGTAAGTAGGCTACCTTTAAAGGTATTTGTCCATTGCAAATGCACTAGTCTACACCACTTGTCATGGGTGACAATTAGAGGTTGCTTGGAGTAATTTCTCTATTGTGTAAAATATCTTTCACCATGATGGCTAAGACCATGATAATATTGTTGAAGGATGTTAGAGCAGCAAATTTGAAAGGATTATGCATATCACATTGACTTAATCGGAATCAGAAAGAGCTTTATTGCCAAGTAGTATTTTACAGATAGGAGGAATTTGCTATGGTGCTTAGGTGCTACACATAGACATACAGAACACATACAGTTGAGATAAATAGATTTAAAAATACATAAATATATGTCTATATATAAATACTAAGTGTCCCTAAGCACAATTTGTCACACAATTATCTCTTATGTGTCCCCCCCACAGCAAACCAGGGGTCAGTACATACATTTGAATGCAGCCACCCCAATCATGGCATTGTGTGGAAAACTCAATATGTGCCTGAGGAGGGATTTTCGGGTCACCAGAATAACTATGAGGAACCTCATGCACCTAATAGTCTCTCCACAAGATCACGGTTGGGGCTGGGTGTTGTGTTCATGTGGTACTTGTGTTCATGTACAGCTTGGCCCATGGACTGTCCCTGTCTGCGGTGGCATCGGCATTTGGGATCCCCAAAAGCACAGTACACGACATGATTCACAGGGTGAGCATTAGAATAAAGGCCAAGCTGTCAGTTTTCAATTCAATTCAATTTAATTTATATAGCGCCAAATCACAACAACAGTTATCTCACAGCGCTTTTCATAAAAGAGCAGGTCTAGACCATACTCTGTGATGATATTTACAGAAGCCCAACAGTTCCCACCAAGAGCAAGCACTAGGCGACAGAGGCAAGGAAAAACTTCCTTTTAAGAGGCAGAAACCTCGAGCAGAACCATGGCTCAGGGTGGGCGGCTATCTGCCTCGACCGGTTGGGGTGAGAGAGAGAGAGAGAGAGAGAGAGAGAAAGAGAGAGAGAGAGGGATGTAAGGAGAGAGAGAGGGGAGGGAGGCAGCTTACACAATATACACACAGAGGTACAGACAGTGAAGGTAATGTTGCTATAGACTAAATGAAAAATGGTACAGATATTTATAATAGTGTTAATGGTAACCATCGTAATGTTAATGATTATAATAACAATAATAACAATAAGACTAGCAACAATAGTCGTTACAGTAGAGGGTGTCGAGCAGGAACACAGGGGCAGCAGGTGACCCGCAACCACAGATCCAGACTCCACAGCTCCAGAGCCAGAAAACCTGCAGGAAGTGATAGGAGAGAGACGAGAAAGCACAAGACTACCAGAAAGGGGAGAAGTTGTGTTAGTAACATGCAATAATGGGATAAGGTTGCATACAGAGGGAGAGAAAGTAGAGGAGAGAGGAGCTCAGTGCATCAGGGGAAATCCCCCGGCAGTCTAGGCCTATAGCAGCATAACTAAGGGATGGTTCAGGACTACCTGAGCCAGCCCTAACTATAAGCTTTATCAAAGAGGAAAGTCTTAAGCCTACTCTTAAATGTGGAGATGGTGTCTGCCTCCTGAACCCAAACTGGAACCTGGTTCCACAGGAGAGGAGCTTGATAGCTGAACGCTCTGGCTCCTAGTCTACTTTTGGAGACTCTAGGAACCACAAGTAACCCTGCATTCTGGGAGCGCAGTGCTCTGGTGGGGTAGTAAGGTACAATGAGCTCTTTAAGATAAGATGGTGCCTGACCATTAAGAGCTTTGTAGGTAAGAAGAATGATTTAAATTCTATTCTGGATTTTACTGGAAGCCAATGCAAAGAAGCTAAAACAGGAGAAATGTGATCTCTTTTCCTGGTTCCTGTCAGAACACGTGCTGCAGCATTCTGGATCAGCTGAAGAGTCTTAATGGACTTTTTCGAGCAGCCTGATAATAAGGAATTGCAGTAATCCAGCCTAGAAGTAACAAATGCATGGACTAGTTTTTCTGCATCATTTTTAGACAGGATGTTCCTGATTTTCGCAATATTACGTAGGTGAAAAAAGGCGGTCTTTGAAATTTGCTTAATGTGAGACTTAAACGACATGTCCTGATCAAAGATAACTCCAAGATTCCTCACAGTGGTGCTGGAGGCCAAGGCGATGCCATCCAGGGAAACTATATCTTTAGATAATGCGTCACGGAGGTGCTTAGGCCCCAGAGCAATAACTTCAGTTTTATCTGAGTTTAACATGAGAAAATTACAGGTCATCCAGGTTTTAACATCCTGAAGGCACATTTGAAGTTTAGCTAACTGATGAGTTTCATCTGGCTTGATCGATAGATATAACTGAGTATCATCTGCATAACAATGAAAGCTTATGGAATGTTTCCTGATAATATTGCCTAAAGGAAGCATATATAAAGTGAAGAGGATTGGTCCAAGGACAGATCCTTGAGGAACTCCATGAGTAACTTTGGCGTGCATGGAGGACTCAACATGTACAAACTGAAATCGATCTGATAAATAGGACTTAAACCAGCTTAGAGCGGTTCCTTTAATGCCAATGAAATATTCCAGTCTCTGCAATAGGATCTGATGGTCAATGGTATCAAATGCAGCACTAAGATCTAATAAAACCAGTACAGAGACAAGTCCTTTGTCTGATGCAATAAGGAGGTCATTAGTAATTTTCACCAGTGCTGTCTCTGTGCTATGATGAGCTCTAAATCCTGACTGAAAATCCTCAAATAAACTATTGCTCTGTAGAAAGTCACACAGCTGATTAGCAACTGCTTTCTCCAGAACCTTAGAGAGAAATGGAAGGTTAGATATAGGTCTATAGTTGGCAAAAACATCAGGATCAAGTTTGGGTAAAACATCTTTAAGCAGCCTAGTCGGGATGGGGTCTAAGAGGCAGGTTGATGGTTTAGATGAAGAAATTATTGAAGTTAGTTGGTAAAGATTGAGGTAAGCAAAACAGTCTAAACATGTATCTGGTTCTACAGCTGTTTCTAAGGTTCCTGAGTTAAGAGATAAGTCGGTGCCAATTGAGGGCAGGTCTTGGTGAATTTTGTCTCTAATAGCTAGAATTTTATCATTAAAGAAGCTCATGAAATCGTAACTACTGAGAGCTATGGGAATACTTGGCTCAATAGAGCTGTGACTCTCTGTCAGCTGGCTACAGTGCTGAAAAGAAACCTGGGGTTGTTCCTATTTTCCTCTATTAATGACGAGTAGTACGCTGCTCTGGCATTACGGAGGGCCTCCCTATAAGTTTTAAGACTATCTTGCCAAATTAAACGAGAATTTTCCACTTTGGTGGAACGCCAATTCCTCTCAAGTTTCCGTGATATTTGCTTTAATTTGCGAGTTTCAGTATTATACCATGGAGCTAACCGTCTTTGTTTTAGTATTTTCTTTTTTAGAGGGGCTACAGAGTCGAGTGTCATTCGCAGCGAGCCTGCAGCACTATCAACAAGATGATCGATTTGGGAGGGACTGAAATTAGCATAGGAGTCCTCCGTTACTATGTGACTAGATAATGTATTTAGAGCTGATGGAATCGCATCCTTAAATTTAGCTATGGCACTATCAGACAGACATCTTGTATAGAAATTTTTGCCCAATGGCGAGTAGTTCAGCAATACAAACTCAAAAGTTATCAAACAGTGGTCGGATAAAGAGGGATTCTGTGGGAACACCACTAAATGTTCAATTTCAATACCATACACCAAAACAAGGTCGACGGTGTGGTTAAAACAGTGAGTCGGTTCATGAACACTCTGAGAGAAGCC